GCACCATGCCGGCATTCCTGAGGTCCACCAAGCCCCCCGGAATGGTGGCGTGCTTCGACACGGGGACAAGCAGACACTTCCGTTCTACCTTCCCGCCATCCGTCACCAGACAAATGCCGTTTCCAAGTGGGCGGACGAGTCGTACTTTGCGGCAAGGGCTCGCATGGCTCGCATGTCCTGGGCCGTCAAGTTTCCGAGCTTTCCGGCTTTGGAACGAGCGTGACTCAGTAGCATGCGCCCTGTCACACAGACGAGCATCGAGAAGACAACAGTGACAATTAACCGGAGAAGTGACGGATGTTCGTACAAAGGTATGAGCGAGGTGACTGCGAGGACGGGGCCGAGAGGGCAAAACGAGACGAGACTGGGCTGAACAGGCTGGGATGGAAATGGGAGCTTAATTGATCGAGGAGCCACGGCGATTCCTGTCCTTGACCTCGACACACATTGTTCCGCCCATGCCGTCGGGAAAGCAGTGGTGTCGCTTTGCCGGTGCAGGTTTGTTTGCCGGAGGTGCCGATGGGGCCAGTTCCGAAGTGGGTGACTCGATGGCGCTGCCAGACTGACGCGACAGCGCAGCAGCGCCTGCCAGCGACGGCGGGGGCGAGCTGCTAAGTGCCGAAGACGGGAAAGCCGAGCTCGGGGAGGACATGAAACCAAACGCGCTCAGCGCCGAGAGACGCCCGCCGTTGCTGAAGCCGGCGCCAAATGATGTGCGTCGCGGCGGCTGCGAGAGCAGTGCATTGGTGGCCGGGTGCGGTGTCGTGTCGGTGTTGGATGAGGAGGTCTGGTTGGCGGAGGAGCCGAAGAAGAACTGCGGCAGCAGGAACGAGTTGCTGCGTTGCGGTTGCGATGCTGGCTGAGGTGCCGACTGCTCGGGAGACGAGCGGCCCGAAGACGAGGCCATGGAAGACGACGACGGCGATGTGGAGTACATCCTGCAAGCCAGACTCGGAGTATAGATGGTAAGGACAAGAGCTGTTTGCCTAGGCGCTGTCAAAGGTTCTGTGTTTTGGCGACGTGAAGAGCTGGTGGTGGTTGGGGTAAGAGCGACGACCTCGATGAGCTCGACGGAGCAAGCGGCTCAACTTTATCATCGGACGAGTGTGGCTCAGGTCACGATGGCATCTCGAGATTAGCAGCAGCAGCAGCCGCTCAACACGTTCGCGCGCAACGTGCTGCATCAGCTGGACAAGCTTCGACTGTGCTCAGCTGCGCCAGGATTTGCAACGCACGCATGCAGCACCGTGCAGGTTGACCCTGTCATGCGCAGGCGAGGCGGCTTTAAAAATTTCGCAGCGCCTCGCCAGTGTCGCGCCTGTCTCACCCGTCTCAGCCGCGTTTTTTTGGCAGCAACGGGTCGAGGCGCGGATTCTACCCGCATATCCGTCGGATGTCTCCGTCTGCCCGTTCAGTGCGGCAATCGTGGCGGAAGGGGCGGAAATCGAGGACGAAATTCGCCGTGGCTTTGCAGTCCAAGCTGGTAGGGTCGCCGGCAAAACATTGCCCTCGGCCCTTACCCGTCGCCCTCGAGCATCAGCCTCCTCATCTCTAGCATGAAGGCGGTCGCAGAGGCTGCACTTCGGAAGTGAAGCTGCTACAGTAGATCAAGGAGCAGCGGTCGAGTCAGAGCCGAATCAAGCCTTGTGGCAAGAGGGCGTGGGGCGGCCTCGTCTGCTCTCGGCTCAGGCGGTGACGTCTGCATGCCAACTGCGGGCAACCTGATTACGTCATCTGGGCCCGCTTCGCAGCTCTAACATTTGCAAAAAATATCGGGGCGTCACGTGGCGGTGTGCTTCGGACGCGCGTATTTCAGGGTCCACAGGCAGCTGCGACTCGCGGCGGATGCAGTTGCGCGCCCATCTTCCTGCTGTGGCGGGCGTGGCTGAGTCGTTTGAGGGCCCTTTCACAGAACCCCGAGTGCTCGTCCGAGCTCGTACCTCTTCTTCTTCTTGACCGCCACCATCCATTTGCTCTGACGCGTCGATTCATCCGCGATCCCCCTCCCAATCGCCCCCTTCGGCCAGCACCGGACTCGGACAGCACGTCATGGTCGAACGCGACGACTACATGCGCGAGGGCTTCGATCCCAGCTCGCTCACCATGCCGCAGCTGCGTGGCATCCTCGTCGAGCACGATGTTCCGTTTAGCAGCGCAGTGCGAAAGTCAGAGCTCGTGGACCTCTTCAACCGCAACGTCCTACCCAAGACCGCTTCGCTCCGCAAGAAGAAGGCCACCATCGTCGCCAGCTCCAGCGGCATCATCGACATGCGCGATGGCGCTCGCAGCGATACAGAGGTCACGCCCGAACAGACCCCAGCAAAGCGCAAGCCAGGACGACCCAGGAAGAGCGAGGCTTCAACTCCCGCTTCTCAAACTCCCGCAAAGACTCCCGCAAAATCAGCACGCAAAAAGTCGTCTCTCGGCAGCCAAGTAGTTGCAGTCGCAGAGAGCGAGGCCGAGGAGGTCGTCGAGCAACCGGTCAAGCGACCTCGTGGCCGTCCGCGCAAGTCAGTCTCTACCGAGGCTGTAGAGCCCGAGGAAACCACTTCGCCCCGTCGCGTCACCTTTGGAACCACGCCAGACTCTCCGCCCGCCTCCTCCAGGAAAGCTGGACGCCTCAGCCTTGGAGCAGGCGGCTCTGGAAGACGCAGCGACGACGATGGAACCTTCTCCGACAGCAATCCCTTCCAGTCCGGCAGCGAAGCCTCCCCCGCCTCGGGCATCGCCGCCAAGGTAGCAGCTTCGGCCAGAAAAGCGCGTCGTAAAACTACCGATGGTACCTCGACTCTGCGCAAGAAAGCATCGGACCAGCACCTTGCCCCAAGCTCGCCCCGCTCGGCCCGAAAGTCGGCCCCAGGCGCAGGTAGCACGCTGCAAAACTATATGGATCAGTCGATCGCCTCGATCACGCCCCCTCGCATCGTGGGCGACAACACCGTCGCCTCGTCCAAAGATACATCCACATACTCCGGCGCCGAGGCCGATGCAGACGACGATTTCGACGACCTAGACACGTTCACCTCGCCCTCGGCTCTGGCCAAGATGCGCATCCTCAGGCGCAAGAAGGACAAACAGCGACGCAAGGGTGGCAGGGCCGAACGGACCTTGGCTGACCACCTCATCCGATCGGTATGGATGATGGTGTGTGTCGGAGCCATCGCTTGGACAATGTGGTACGCGCGCGAAACGCGTGCGCTGGGCTTCTGCGACACGGGCTCCGACACCAACGCCATCGTGCAGGACCGACAGCTGACGGCGCTTGCCTTCGCCCGCGCCAACAACGAGTCGGTGGAAGACACCTCCATCCTGCCCGAACGCTTCCAGCCAAGCTGCACTCCTTGTCCGCCCCACGCCAACTGCGCGTATGGCCAGGTGGTCGGATGCTCTTCGGACGACTGGGTGCTGCAGCCGAATTTGCGCTCGCACGTGCCGCTGGCCAAGTGGGTGCTGCCGCTCAGCATGACGGCGCCGCGCTGCTATCCGGACACGCAGAAGCTCGTGCTGGCCTCGGAGCTGGCGCAGGCCGTGTCGCACATGCTCGCCGACTTCAAGGGTGAGATCGTGTGCGGCACGCAGAAGACGCATGCGACGGTCAAGAAGTTGCCCAAGAAGCTGGTGGCTGAGAACGGTAACCTGACGTATGCGATCGCCGAGCAGGCGGTGAAGCGCTCCATGTCCGCCACGCGCGATGCTCGCGTGGACGACGACTACTTTGAACAGATCTGGTACATGGCGCTCTTTGAGCTCACGGATCCGAGAAGCAACATTGTGCGCGTGCCCGTCTCGGCGGCTTCGCCCGCGCAGGCTGCCGAGGAGGCAGACGAGCTGCAGACCGAGTACTTCCTGGCGGCCAAGCAGCCCACGCTGACGCTGGCGTGTCGATCGCGGCTGGCGCTGCGGGGGTGGATGATGCGCGCGCGGCTGTACGTCTTTGCTCTGCTGTCGGCAGTGCTTGGCTTGTCGTACCTGCGCTACCGCGTCAGCGCCGCACGCGCAGAGACGGCCAAGGTGGCCACGCTCGTACAGGCCGCTCTCGAAAGGTTGCAGGAGCAGGAATATCTGCATGGCCTCGACCCCGTGCTGTATCCGGACGACTTTGTGCCGCTCTCGCATCTGCGCGACCACATTCTGAGCGAAGAGCACCAGGCAAAGGCGCGCAACCGGCTCTGGAAAAAGGTGGCGCGTGTGGTCGAGGAGAATTCCAACGTACGCACACGCCAGGCGCAGAAGAAGGGCGAGTGGCTACGAGTCTGGCAGTGGGTAGGCGTCGAGAGCTTCAAGGGCTACTCTGGCACCCCTACCCTCACTCCGCAACCAGTCGCCTGATTTCACCCTCCCCTCTCCTCAAGCAAAGATTCGCATTCCCGCTCTTACCCCCCGTCCTGTCGCATTCCACACACGCATGTATCTTAGGCACACTTTCAGCACACACCCGCAGCGATGATGAAAAGCAATTTTTGAGATGCACTTTTGCAAAACGTGACAACTTGACTGATGAATGGTGGATTGGAGATGCTGATTTTGGTGACCTAGATGTCGAGGTCGGCGAGGAAGCGACCTACGACTTCGAACGAGGCGATCATGACGCCGCAAGCCGGGGCGACTTTGGCAGTTCGGGGACTGAGACCTTTCCAGAGGCCTGCTGTTCCTTCGGTGGCGATGATGTGACGCATGGTGTTCCAGACGCCGTTCGTCGCTTGCTGGTTGCCACGCAGACTCGCGGAGAGTCGACCGTCGGGCTGATTCGAGCCCTGCGTTTGTAGACGCGTCTTGACTACATCAAACGGATGCGTGAGTAGCGCAGCTACCGAGCCGCTCACGGCACCCGAGACAAACGCAACACCAAACTCCTCTCCGCTACCAGCAGCATTACCTTCGCCGAGTCCTCCGCCCGTCAGCGAGCGTTTGCCCGCCTCGTAGCCCGCAAAGTAGATGGCGCTGAACGGCACATCTCGCCACAGCGTCGGCGTAAGGCCGCGCCACAGAATCAGCGGGCCTCCACCAGCACCGATCGAGGTGGTGCGCATCTCGACCCACAGCCCGCGCAGGATCGACGTGAGCGAAGCCTGCGAACGCGAAGACGCCTGCAGCCGCGTACGGATGAGCTCGAGCGGCGTCACGAGCGTCGCCGAGATCGACCTTGCCAGCGCACCCGCCAGCAACGATGCGTACAGCGATTGCGCCGTCACCGCCGACAGGCTCGGCGCCTTGCCCGCCAATCCGAGCTCTCGACCCGTCGCCGCCGAGTCCTGCCGGAACGCCCTCTGCACGCGCGCGCTGTCCTCGGACGCGAGCAGCTTGCCGCGGAAAAAGTCGTAGCACGACATGTACGTCACCTGGCCCGGCACGGTCATCATGAGCGTTGGCGCGAGCCCGCGCCACAGACCGCGGATGCCCTCGGCCCTGCCCACCTTGATGACGCCATCCCAGAGGCCCGTGAGACGCCCCTGCTCCGAGGCGGCCGCCTTGAGCTCGCGCGCAGCCACAGTCTGGTTGGGGAAGGCGCAGGCGCACGAGGACGAGCCGTTCGCCGTCACGGCCGATGGCGATGGATGCAGGAAGCCGGTGGGTGCAGGCGGTGGAGACGGAAGGATGCGCACGCTTGACCGAGGCGGTGCGGAGGCCGAGAACGACGTCGTGTGTCGGCCGAAGCGCGAAGAGGTGCTGCGATGGGCGGGTCGCTGTGTAGACGATGAGCTGGAAGGTGTGCGAGCTGAAAAGAATGCTGATGATGATGAGCTGTGTGACGATGCTGCGGAGGTGGAAGCGGTTGACGAAGACGAGGCCTGGCGCGGGTCGTAGCGGCACAGGATCGACTCTGGTTGTCGGTTGGATGTGAAGAAGGTCTGCTGGCAACACGTGGCCGGGTGTGCGTGGAATCCACCCGCAAGGCGTGGAGCGTTGCCCTTGACCGGCGCTTTGCCCTTGTCGATGCTAGTGACAGACGTGAGAGTGGGCGCCGTGGCAAGATGCTGTGAGGGGTAGAAGAGCGGCTCGGCACTGCTCTGCGTCTGCAGCCGAGTCTTGATCACGTCGAACGGCGTCATGAGGAAGCTGGTGGTGACTGCGCCCGTGACGGCCGCCACCGCCTTCTTGGTGCGCGAGACGGGCTTGCGCGGTGCCCCCTGCCCGAAGCTGGAGCGTCGCTTGCCCATCGGTGGGCGCTCAACGGAGGTTGATGCCATGGTTGGATACGCTTCTGGTTCGGTGAGATCCGACCTCATCGCGGACGACGAGCTGCCCGCGCGAGAAGAGGCCATGGTGGCCATGTCCACGTCGGACGAGCTTTTCGCGTCTAGGTGGAGGCAAAGGGCTCGACTATGTTGGTGGAAGTGTGGCTTCGATGATGGCAGACCTCTATGGTGGTGCGAGAGCGGATGGCATGGTCCGTCCGTCTTTGTGCCGAACGAATGGCTGAGGGAATGAGGTGTGGGAGGATGGATAGGGACGGTGGTGGTGGGTCGCAATGGGGAGGTCGAGGTCAGGTGGAGTCAGAGACTCGCTTGCCTGACTGAGCGTTTCTGTATCAGATCGAAGGAAGTTTCGTCGGCCACTTGACCGTGTGGCAGGGCGTCGACCGTGGAAATCTCAAAAAAGCGCCGCCACTCGTGACCGATAAATCCACATGACGCACTCACCCACTGCGCAGTCCAGCCACAGAATAATGGGCGGTCTTCCAAAAATGACTCAGGGTCAGCTCAAGTGCTGAGCTAAACCGATAAGACCTTGTTTAGTACAACGGGCTAACATCTTGATCCTAAAAATAATATTCGCCAGGGGCCCTCGCCCCGTGTCCGACTTCCGACTGGTTGTCGGCTTCTGCAGAGTGTATGCACAATTTGGCAGCCGTGCGGTGAACAGCCGTGCAGGAGCAGCCACGCACAGACAGGCAGGGTCTGTTGCACCTGGCTCGGCTTGCAACGAACCACCACGCACTTCTCCGGCGCACAATAGCCTCGCATCTGCATTTGCTTGCCCCCCGGACACGCCGTCCGATGCTACCAACATGTCGTCGCTGCCCGATGATCCTCGCCCGGTAGCAGCCGTTGCCTCGGATCCAATCTGGGACCACGCCGAGGACGAAGGCGGCCACCACAGCTGGATCGATCCACCCATCGGCGAGGCTGGACCTTCCACGCAGCCCATCACCCATACACCATCGTTTGGGTCCAGACCGCCCGAGATTGCAGCGCTCGCTGCTTCTGGTAGAGGGGGCACCTCGTCGTTGCCCGCATCGCTCCCGCGACATCTCAGTACACAGTCACTCGGACGTGCTGGACCGCGGTCTGCGCGGACGAGTGCCGATTCATCGCGCCGTCCTCGGCTCGTGGATCGCGTCACATCGTCCAGATCCCTCTTCCTGCCTTCGATCGCTTACTCGGACTTGCACGACTCGGGAAGCAATGTTGATGGCGATGCCGAGTGGCGCAGTAGCGCCGTCGGGGCCACGCCTCTCGACCGCACAATGGACCGCATCGGTATGGGCCGCTACCAGTGGACCGTGCTCATCCTCTCCGGCCTCGGATGGGCGGCGGACAACATGTGGATCCAGGCCATCGCCATCATCCTGCCACACATCCAGCGCTACTTTACCCTCTCGGACGGCATCGTCGGCCTGGCAAGCTCGTCGATCTTTGTCGGCATGTTCATCGGCTCCATCGCTTGGGGCACCATCTCGGACTCGTTCGGTCGCCGTGCCGCATTCAACATCACACTCGCCGTCGCCGCTGTCTTTGGAGGCCTCTCGGCGCTGGCGGGCTCCTTCCCGCTGCTCTGTATTTTGCTCTTTGCCGTCGGCACGGGCGTCGGCGGCAGCATGCCCACCGACTCGAGCAATCTCGTGGAGAACTTGCCCGTGCGCAAGCACAGCTACGTGACTGCCCTCTCGATCTTCTTCTCGGCGGGCTCAGTCGTGTCGTCGCTCATCGGCCTTGCGACGCTCTCGGCCCACAATCCGCAGGGCTGGCGATGGCTCCTCGGCTCGCTCGCCTTTGTCACCGTGCTCTTCGTCTCGGCAAGGGTGGTCTTCTTCCGCCTCCTCGAGTCGCCAAAGTATCTCGTCCACGCCGGCAGGCCGCAAGAGGCAAGAGACATTCTGCAAAAGATCCACAAGTATAACGGCGGCACCACTATCGCGCTGCGAATACAGGATGTCGACGATCATAGCCGGATAGCTATGCCGGGCAGCAACAGCGATCTCGAGCGCCAGCAGTTCAGCTCAGCCGCCTCCCAGTCCAAGGATGTGGCGCAGGAGGGAGGCGACGAGCAGACAGACGGACCTACAGCCGGTGATCGTGCGTCGAGATGGTCAAACGGATCATCCCAAACGTACCCGAACGACGAAGAGGCAGACGGGGACTTCGACGGTCGCGATCTATCGTCGAGACCGCTACTCGATCGCGCAGAAGATGACGGCCAAGTCGAGGGGAGCAAAGGTGACCAGGACGCGAGTCGAAATAGGCGCGGCGCTGGAGCTTCTTCGTCGAGCGTGCGGTCGGTTCGCAGCCTCGAGCTGCCTGCCTCGCTAGCCTGGCTTCCCGAAAGCTGGCACCCGAGCGCGGCCGACTTGGCCTCACGCTTCGCCGAGATGTTTTCGCCAGAGTGGAAGCGCACCACGCTACTCATCTGGATCATCTGGGGCGGCATGTCCTACGGCTTCACCACCTTCAACGTGCTCCTCCCCAAGCTGCTCGAGCAACGCTACGATTCCCCCGACTCAGCCGCTACTGCATTGGCGGGAAGCGCGCCAGACGATGCCTCCATCCGCAGAGCCATGCTCGACATCCTCGTCTACTCGCTCTCCTCGCTCCCCGGCAGCTTGATCGCCGCCTACATGGTCGAGACCCGTCTCGGCAGGATCGGCACCATGGTCACCTCCACTTGCATCATGGCCGTCTCGATGCTCCTCTTTTCCCTCACCTTTTGGCGCTCCAGCCTCACCGTCGTGTCCGTGTCGAGCTCCATCTCGTATGCGGCCATCTACGGGTACACGCCCGAAGTCATGGCTCCCACCATCCGCGGCACCGCGTGTGGCACCGCCTCGGCCATTAGCCGCGTGGCTGGCATCGTCGCACCCCTGCTCGCAGGCTGGGCCTACTCCCTCCTGCCTGCGCTGCCCCTCTTCATCGCTACTTCAGCCCTCGTCGTCGTCACGGCAGCCATGGCCTTGTTGCCGATCGAGACGCGAGGCCGTGCTCTAGATCCGACCCAGGTCGCCCACTGATAGCAATTGGACGTTCGGAGCCTCCAAGAGACTAGCTCAGTCACGCAGTCGATGCACAGAAAAAAGAGTGTTTGTGTGGTATTCATTTGATTGCATAGGGGTT